GGGCAACAAGAGCAAAACTTTGTCTCAAAAAAAAAAAAAAAAAAAAAGAATGTGGGGGAGCTGGCAGTGGGTGAAGCTATTTGAATCATAGCAGGTTTCAGCAGCCAATAGATAAAACTGGTTTCAGGTGACAGCCCACAGTTTCAGCAGCCCCTTGAGGTCAGGAGTTTGAGACCAGCCTGGCCAACATGGTGAAACCCCGTCTCTACTAAAAATACATAAATCAGCCGGGCGTGCTGGTATACTCCTGTGGTCCCAGCTACTTAGGAGGCCAAAGCAGGAGAGTTGCCTGACCCCTGGAGACAGAAGTTGCAGTGAGTTGAGATCACACCACTGCACTTCAGCCTAGGTAACAGAGCAAGACTCCATATCAAAAAAAAGAGTCCGGAAATTTTTCTTTCTTTAAAAATAAAGATGGGAGCCTTGCTTTGTCGACCAGGCTGATGTCCAACTCCTCACTTCAAGTAATCCTCCTATCAGCCTCCCAAAGTGTTGGGATTACAGGTATGAGCCACCACACCTGGCCTAGTCTGGAAACATTTGCACTTGATCTAGGAGTTTGTATTAAGTGTCTCTAAAGTTCTTCTTCTACATTCTGAGCCGGGCGCTGTGGCTCACACCAGTAATTCCAGCACTTTGGAAAGCTGAGGGAGGTAGATCACCTAAGGTCAGAAGTTTAAGACCAGCCTAGCCAACATGGTGAAACCCCCATCTCTACTACAAATACAAAAATTAGCCAGGCATGGTGGTGTGCATCTACAATCCCAGCTACTCAGGAGGCTGAGGCAAGAGAGTCGCTTGAACCCAGGAGGCAGAGGTTGTGCAGTGAGCCAAGATCTCTCTCTATTGCACTCCAGCCTGGGTGACAAGGGCAAAACTCAGTCTCAAAAAAAAAAAGTCTTTTACGTTCTGTCTTTATTCATCCATTCTACAGAAATAAAAACTGGATACAGGGTTGCTTTAGACAAGAAACTGGAATAAATTGGACCCTCTCTCCAAGGATGGGCCTTACGCCTGTAGCCAAAAGACTGCAAAGTCAAACAGGGCGAGGTGACTCACACATATTATTCCAGCATTTTTGGAGGCTGAGGTAGGCGGATCACTTGAGTCCAGGAATTTGAGACCAGCCTGGACAACGTGGCAAAACCTCATCTCTACAAAATATACCCAAAAAAGTATGTGTAGTCCCATCTAGTTAGGAGGGTCATTCTAGCCCAGAAGGGGATGGGAGGATCATTCCAGCCCAGAAGGTTGAGGGTGCATTCACCTGAGCCTGCGCCACAGCACTTCATGCACTCCAGCCTGAGTCACAGAGTGAGACTCTATCTCTATCTCAAAAAAAAAAAAAAATTGCAAAGCCAATATACTGTTGTTTAAATTTAAAATAAAGTGTTTAGACATATCATATTTTATTATTTTTCATATTAACTCACTTCTTCAATAACTAAACATCTACGATTCCCTAACATATAAAACAAATATATACAGCTTCTAAAAACATGATACAAAGCCAGGTGCAGTGGTTCACACCTGTAATCCCAGCACTCTGGGAGGCCACAGTGGAAGGATTACATGAGCCCAAGAGTTTGAGACCAGCCTAGGTGACATAGGGAGACCCTATCTCTACAAAACAATTTTAAGAAAATTAGCTGATCATGGCGGCATGCACCTGTGGTCCCAGGAATTTGGGAGGCAAAAGTGGGAGGATCACTTGAGCCAAGGAGCTCAAGGCAGCAGTTAGCTATGATTATGCCACTGCACTCCAGCCTGGGTGGCAGAGTGAGATCCTGTCTCCAGAAAAAAACGAAAACAAAAAAAAACAAGAGGCTGGACGAAGTGGCTCACACCTGTAATTCCAGCACGGGGGGAGGCTAAGGTGGGTAAATCATGTGAGGTCCAGAGTCAAAGACCAGCCTGGCTAACATGGTGAAACCATGTCTCTACTAAAAACACAAAAATTAGCCATAATGGTGGGTGCCTGTAGTCCAGCTACTCCGGAGGCTGTGGTGGAAGAATGGCTTCAACCTGGGAGGCAGAGGTTGCAGTGACCCCCAGATCATGCCCAATGCACTGCAGCCTGGGTGACAGAGCAAGACTCCATCTCACATGTACCCCAGAACTTAAAGTATAATAATTAAAAAATAAAATAAAAATTAAAAAAAGAAAGAAAAAAGAATCAATAAAAAAGTAAACAAATCAGCCTCATGGTTATAGTGAGGTTATAGTGAAGAAAAATAAATTTTAAAGAAGTCAACAAAGTACAATAGAAAAAATGACTGATATGCTAAAATACTGATAATACAATTAAATAAAAAGGAAGATTAGAACAAACTGTCCAGTACATTCACATCTTAGTAAAGGATGCCTTTGTTACATATGACTAAATAGAAATCCAAGAAGAGTCTACTACAAAATCCTAACAACTTCTCCCAGACATGAACTAACAGATAATTTTATTTTCTTCCTTTTGCTTTTGAAGGATTTTCCAAATCTTCTAAAACTAAGATTGCTTTTAAACAGAGTCTAACTCACTGTCACTCAGGCTGGAGTACAGTGGTGCAATCTCAACTCACTGCAACCTCCTCCTCCCAGGTTCAAGCGATTCTCCTGCCTCAACCTTCCAAGTAGCTGGGATTACGGGCATGTGCCACCACACCCAGTCAATTTTTGTAATTTTAGTAGAGAAGAAGTTTCACCTTGTTGGCTAGGCTGGTCTTGAAATTCTGGCCTGAAGTGATCTGCCTGCCTCAGCTTCCCAAAGTGCTAGGATTACACATGTGAGCCACAGCCTCTGGCCTAAGATTATTTTTAAAATCAAAAGAAATGTTACTTAAGTTTTTGTTAGTCTTTCCAACTCTTCTTCTGGAAATGCTATTAAATGGATAAGCAAAAAATGATTGTGACAGAAAAGGCCTTTTGTACTATGTGAGCACATGGAGGCCACTCAGTGAGAGAGAAACTGTTTCTGTGGAAAATGGACTGCAGTGACACAGAATAAACCTGGGAATGAGTGAATTTCCTCTGCAGGATAAAGCACAGGGAGTACACAGCACCCCTGTCACCTGAGGGTGGGGGACACCAGGAGACACGCCAGAGAGGAGGGGGCAGGGCAGAGCTGAGGGAAAGCTCTGGGAAGGTCAGAGCCTGGGTTGATCCTGGTCAGATTTCTGACTTGTTTCTGCTCACCTCTATCAGAGCTACTCACAATGTTTCCTTTTCTCAGACCCTAGGGCTTAAGTGAGGAGTTGTTATTTAACCAGAGACCAGGGTGCACAGGACAAGCACCAGTATTAAAAGGTGCTGTATAGGCTGGACTCAGTGGCTCATGGCATAAACCCAGAACTTTTGGTGCCGAGGCAGGCAGATCACAAGATCAGGAGTTCAAGACTAGCATGGCCAATGTGGTGAAACCCCGTCTCTGCTAAAAATACAAAATTAGCTGAGCATAGAGGCATGCGCCAGTTCTTGGGAGGCTGAGGCAGAAGAATTGCTTGAACCCAGGAGTCAGAGGTTGCAGTGAGCCAAGATCATGCTGTTGAACTCCAGCCTGGTGGACAAAATGAGACTCTGTCTCAAAAAAATAAATAAATAAATAAAAGATGCTGTATCTTAGAACCACAGGGCACTCCCAGTGGTTTCATTCCATCAAATAAATTACTTTTGGATGGTGTAATACAGGATTTGATGAAAAGAGTCCTAAGTTCTAATTTTGATAGGAAGACACAGAAACAACACTTTATTTCACTTTTGACATAGGGTCTCCCTCTGTTGCCCAGGCTGGAGTGCAGTGGCATAATCAAGACTCACTGCAACCTCGACCTCCCAGGTTCAAGTGATCTTCCCACCTTAGCTTCCTGAGTAGCTGGGAATCTAGGCGCTGCCATCACACCTGGCTAATTTTTTATTTTTATTTTTATTTTTGGGGGGAGATAGCGTCTCCCTGTGTTGCCCAGGCTGATCTGGAGCTCCAGGACTCAAACGGTCTTCCTGCTTGAGTCTCCCAAAATGCTGGAATTGCAGGTGAGAGCCACCAAGCCCAGCCTTGAATTCTTAAAATTATCCGTAGCACATGTGAATAGAGTTTGTGAACTGTACAAGAACATTAAAGTCATAATCGGCATTCACCTTAGAATCTTGTAGCAGAGTTAGGCTTTTGCAGGAATCTCAGCCAGCCAGTAAATATTCCCTAAACAATGACTCTTTTCAGGGCCCTGTGCTATATACAAAGATACAGATTCCTTAGTAGTTGTCCATATCCCATTAACTATGATCATTTGCATAGAAGGTGCCTGGGGGTGAGAGGTCATCAGTTCCAGTATCTAATTCAGACAATACTGACGCCCAGGCCATCTGGCACCAACCCCATTTGCACTCTAAACTATTGTTGCCAATTCTCCCTGAGCAACACTTTAGAAACACAGTCCCTGGTAAAGAATAGCAGAAAGCTACACTACAAGTAAAATTAAAAATCAGTTCCAAATGTAAATTTTCTTATTGTTTAACAATTAAAAAAATACAATTTAAATAATAGCAGGAATGGGCTGGACAGGGTGGCTCATGCCTGTAGCCCCAGGACTTTGGGAGGCCCAGATAAGCAGATCACTTGAGATTAGGCAGTTGAGGCCAGCCTGGCTAACCTGGTAAAACCCGGTGTCTACTAAAAAAACTACAAAAATTACCCAAGTGCACCTGTAATCCCAGTTACTCAGGAGGCTGAGACCTGAGAATCACTTGAACCCAGAAAGCAGAGTTTGCAGTAAGCTGTGATTGTGCCACTGCACTCCAGCCTGGGACACAGAGTGACACCCTGTCTCCAGTAAATAAATAAATAATACCAAGACTGAAGAGCTTTGAAAAACAGATATACGTGAGACTGTGTGAGATGACTCGTGCCTATAATCCCAGCACTTTGGGAGGCCGAGGCGTGTGGTTAACCTGAGGTCAGGAATTTGAGACCAGCCTGGCCAACATGGTGAAACCTCGTCTCTACCAAAAAGACAAAAATTACCTGGCAGGGGAGATACCATGATCACAAAGGTGGTTTTCTGAAGGTGAGGCTCATCCATTGCACTCTGGATGTGCTGACCCCTGTGATTTCCCCAAATGTGGGAAATTCAACGCATGATTTGTGGTAGTGAGGGACTGTGTTCGCGCTTTTCCTTGATAACGAGTAAAAATAAATAAATTAGCCAGGAGTGGTGGTACATGCCTGTAGTTCCAACTACTTGGGAGGCTGAGTAAGGAGAATTGCTTGAACCCAGAGGCAGAAGTTGCAATGAGCTGAGATCATGCTACTGCACTCCAGCCTGGGCAACAGGTCAAGACTCCATATCCAAAAAAAAAAGGAAAAAAGAAAAAAAAATAAGGCTGGAAATGTTTCTTTCTTTAAAAATAAAAGTGGGAGTCTTGCTTTGTCAACCAGGCCGGTGTCCTACTCCTCACCTCAAGTGATCCTCCTGCCAGCCTCCCAAAGTGTTGGGATTACAGGTATGAGCCACCACACCTGGCCTAGCCTGGAAACATTTGCACCTGA